TATATATATATATATATATATATATATATATATATATATATATATAAATATAATTTGATACATCATACATGATATACTAAGCTCATTTGAACTTGGCTACACATACACTCGAAGTTGAAGCGTGTGAGAACGCCAATCCATCAATTTCATGATTACGAGAAATTTCCAGTGCTTTTGTATTTAAACTAGGCCGTACCATTTTCATATGTTCCACGATGGGGATATTATTTCTTTGTTCAAGTAAAAGTGATATTGCCAAGATTCCTGTGAATGATTCTTGATTGCTTCGTTTGTTACAATAGGAATGTGTTAAGAAAATCCAGTGATTCTTTGTTGTGCTCTGTTCTTGGGGTGTATCAAACCAATAACAATTAAGTTGTACGCAAATCTTATCACCTAGGGGTGTATCAAACCAATAACAATTAAGTTGTACGCAAATCTTATCACCTATTTTTCTTTTCAGCTTCAATGCTGTTGGAGTTTCAGAGTTGAACCTAATGGACTCTTTAGTTAGGGGTAGCAAATGGACCGATTGAACTAACTCTAGATTGGTCAAGATGGATGAATAATCAAATGGGTCATCACCAAATCCCTATCCAAACCAACCCATAGTTTTAGTATAGACAATTTAACTTATAACATATCTCGATGATGTTAAGTTAGAGTTGTCGATATCCTTGACTAAAAATATTACAAAATGAAGCAGCTCAATCTAGGAAGAATAAGTTTTCATAATTTCTACTAGTAACAAGGTTAGCAACGATCATGAAGACTGAATAACAAAGAACCCCATAAAGCAAATGAAATTTGAAATATACAACGAAGGATAAATCTTTAAAAATAAATAAATAATAATAATGCCTTCAAACAAAAGGTGATTTTTCTGTTAATTTTATGAAGATAACCCAATCTTCCCTCAAACTCGTTGAAAAAATATACTGGTAATCCTTTGAAGATTTTCAAGCATTTTGTAAGCAACTTTATTTGGAAAAGAACCCTCAAAACTGCTTAAGGAAACAGATGTTAAATGAAACTCTTTTCAAACACTTGGTAAAAAAATTGTTACCCTTGCTCCCCGAGGCCATGAGGAGGAGAGGGCTGTGTTTCCGCAAGCATATGTCTGTGTCATCATATCCCAAAGTTATCAAATTGACTAGGTATAGTTTCTGAGCAAAAGAAAACCTGAGTTCTCATTCATACGACCCTTAAAATGGAGTTGCCTCATACTATTGTAACAGAATGAAGACCATTTCAGACTCAATCTACCTAAAAAGTAATAACTGTGAAGTGTTTCCCTAGAAGGCTTTTCTATAATACAAACTTGCCACCCTTAATTTTGTAATTCAAATATTGTAACTAGGAATCATGCCACCTGCCCAGGGCCTCTCCCATGCGGACACGGTCTCTCTTTTTAATACAAAAACTGAATTCCGCTGATGTGCTTTTATCTGCAGAAGGTTGTGAGATCGGAGCTTGGAAGACTAGAACCACTGTTGAACCCATATTGAAAGCTGCTAGCTGCAGAGTTAGAAGGTCAAACTTGAGTATTTATATTGAATAGAGAATTACTTGATTGAAAAAGCTAACGGATAAAGGGACTATCACGGCTCGCAGAACATTAGAGCAGAAAATTAATTATCTATCCCTAAATATCACCACATTGCTCTATTGCTTGTTAATTCTCATCGGATCAACAAACGAGAGAACCTTATTGTAAGATATATTTTTTTTAACTTGGTAACTTTGTATTATATCACAAAAGTACATGGGTTGTACTCAAACCTTATATGCATATTCACTCCAGACTCCATTACTCTATTTTTATATTGAATCTAAAACATCAACTATAGAGACATGAGTAAAATTGATTACACCAATGACATAACAACAAAATGCAGTTAAGTTTAACGTCATGCACCTATTTTCTATGCCTTCTAAACATCTGGAATTTCTCTTTCCAGATTGCCCATCATATTGAAGCAGCGATAATTCTCCATCTAATTCTGTCTTTTGCAAGGACACTTGCTTCCAGTAAGATATAAGGCCTCTCAGTAAGATATTTTGACATGCTATTATTTTGACAACAAGGTATTAACATATAAATATACACTATTTTCTATGCCTTCAAAATGAATTTCTTGGCTAGTGCCACAATTGTTCTAGCTAGCAAGACCCTACAAGTCCTCCAGAGAAGTTCAACTCTCCTCATTTTCTAGTCAGTCAATTGTTCCTGTTTATATTACTTTTTGAAATTAACTACGCATGCACATGATAGCTCAACCAAGAAAATGTTGAAGATGAAGAAATGGCAGTCAACTAGTTGTACGTAATATATATAAGTTACAAATCTTATTAAAAAGGAGGAAATTTAATTTTAAAAAAGAAAAAAGAGAGAGGAGGAGATCATTAATCTAGTTTGGTGCTATCTGCATTACAAGCCTAATAGTCAAACGACAAATCCTTGCAACACCATGTCTGTTCACGAGCAGTACAAACCATATGATATAAAAGAAAGAACAGATTTTTGCTGTTCATTGCAAAAATAGGATTTTCTCATGCAAAAAACATCATCAACTTGCCATTAATTTGATTTTATCATGATAGTTTGCATACTCAAAGATGCCACAAAATTGAAATGTTGCATGCATTTTTCTGTTCATAAACAACGTCAAGACTTAAGGATCATACCTCATCTCCTTTCTTCAGCAAAACACCAGTGCCTCTAGGTTCGTATACCTGTTCTTCAGGAGGTTCTGGATGTAGCAGCTTCTTCCATGGTCTATTTGTTCGCAGGGTTGGTTCAATGAAAAGCTGAAACATCAGAAAACAGTACTGAGTCAACTAGAACCAAATGAAGGCAGAAGGCCGTGGTGGGATCTGCAATGGGTATCTATCATGTTCTTCATCCATACTATTGGTGGATTCGTCTTCAATGAGCTAATTGTGATTTCCTATGAGTTTTCCACACTCATTATTATCTCTTGGTTGATTAGTTACATGTAACATGAGTCAGTTGGGCTTAGCTAGCCTGGTTACTACCAGGGTTTCTAATGGCAAGCTTGGTGACACTGCATGACCAAACAAAAGCTGATCCCTATCCTGTTGTTTTGGTCATCCAAATCCATTTTTTATCTTTCTATTTCTGCATTACAATTAGCTCACGAAATTGTCCTTACTATTTTACATTTTAAATTCCATAGTCATGGTGCCTACAAAAAAGTCATAGCCATGGCAATGTACTCAAATGTCACAACTTGCATAGACAAATTATTTAGGTCATTACTAACCCATAAGGAATATTTTTTTTGTGAAACTACAAGGTAACCATAACATTTTCACTAGCTATCCAATTGTACATACAGTGCAAAAGCCTAGAGGACTGGTGACAATTTTTTGTGCAACTAATTAAGGAATAACCCCCCTTCTGAGTTTACCCAAATTGAGTAGCTTGATAATGAAAAAGCTCCAGTGTCAGTCTTCCTAAGAACATAGTCTAGAGAGGAAAAAATGGAAACTTGTATCCAACCAGACAGCTGGCACACTTCGTTATACAAAATTAGTGTATTGCCACCGCACAAGTATCGTAGCTAACCTCAATGGAACCAATATTCGTTGCACCTACGGCTGCCATTGCCATAAAACCTTCTTGCCATTTACCTTCAAGCACAACCTGATAAATGGTTAAAATAAGCATTCCATGAGATGATACATTTATGCATAACTTTCTTCTGTTGCAAACAATAACAACAACAATAAGAACAACTGAACTAAACCACTGGTGTACTAAGCAAGCAATTCTCCACACGGGGTAGGGGCATGGAAACATATACGCAAATATTGGGAAGATTTTGGTCAACAAATTCTTTCAAAGTTGGGAATGGCCTGAATGAGATTCTGGAAAGATAGGTGGCTTGGGAATTTCATCTTGAAAGAACTTTGCCAAACTCTCTTCCTAATAGCACGTGATCCTGACACTACAATTGCGCAGATCAGAGAGGACAATCAATGGAATCTACTTTTCATGAGAAACTTCAATTATTGGGAGCTTGGCAGTCTGGTTGAATTAATGGGTAGACTGGAAGGTTATAACATGAATCCGCAAGCTACGGATATCATCTGTTGGGGTCCTAAGGCAAAGGAATACACTATAAAGAAGGGGCATAAATTGTTGCACGCCCAGAATGATATTACAGATTTATGGCCATGGAAACTAATCTGGAAAACAAAGCTACCACCAAAGGTAATATGCTTCAGCTGGTTGGCATTAAAGAATGATTGTTTGACAGTGGACAATCTTTGTAGAAGAAACTTCCAGCTGGTCAGCAGGTGTTATTTGTGTCAGGAAAGTGCAGAATCAGTAAATCATCTTTTCTTGCATTGTGCGGTGGCTGCAAGCATATGGCATATGTTCCTTCCCCTATTCAATTTGAACTGGGTGATGCCTCAAACTATCAGTGAAGTTGTTGTGAGTTGGGGCCACTTGACAATTGATCGAGCCATCAGGAACACCTGGAGAATGATTCCAGCATGTAATTATTGGTGCCTATGGACAGAAAGGAATCAACGGTATTATGATGGAATTTCAACTCATAATCACTCACTCAAAGCTAAATGTTTGTTCAGTCTATTTTGTTGGTCCAACCCGTCTTATGTGAATAGTTACACTGCTTTCTTAGATTTTATTAGCTCTTTAACTCTAGGCCAGACACAGTCATGTTTTAAGCCTTGTCTAGATTTTTTGAATTGGTGGCTCGCTCCCGTGTCTTAACTGCTGTCATGTAACGGAGCTAGCATATCTTCTTTTGTACTCTTTGCATCTTCTTGATGCCGGTAATGAAACAACTTACTTCATCAAAAAAAAATCAATAAGAACAACAACTACTAGTACCATTACTTTGTGTACCCACCCTCTTATAGAGAAGCCACCATCTAAAAAATATCAGGACAATCAGGGAATAGAACGCAATTTTAGCATAAGGTAGCCAGAATTTACCCTTTCATTCTCCACATATAAATTTCTTATTGTCCTCGTAGCTCGTTCATTCATGGGAAAGAGACGACCTATCAAACAAATGTATCGAATAAATTAACTGCAGGTAGGAAATTGAATAGGAGACTTTACATGCATCAGATTTTCTTTTTCAATGGGAGGAGATGGTGACTTTGGAAGTGGACTGGTACTTTGATACCAAGTGAAAATGATCCCAAAGAAGTGTCTTGAAAGATCGAAAGTTATTTATTTTGGCCAATTAGACATTCAGAAGAACAAGTCACAAAATTCCGTAACAGGCAACTCAGTCGCACGAGACCTTAAGTTTTGCAAATTGATAATATTTGATAAATTTTCCAGCCGGGTTAAGTACTTGACTGTATACAACCACAATGGTTATTATGGTAAAGTCCTCTATATTAGTTGTCAGACACATAATACCTTTTCATAATCATATCAAACACTGTTAGCAGATGCATGAAAACAGAGAGAATACTTGTCACTGACCCCTCATTTGTTGAAGCATAAATATTGATGTATCAACATATTATACTCCCCAAAAGAGCCTTTCTGAGTGTAGCCTTTGCATATCATTGTAATTTGACCATTTGGGGAGGGTGGGTAGAGGGGGCTAGGTGAAGTGATCAGGGATAGGTAAACAGAAAACAACATGGACAATGAAAGCCTACTATGATGGATGAACTCCTCTTAACCTATGGATGCAAATGCAAGGACTTACCAGAGAAATGTCGACGGCCAAGAACATTCCAATCAGCTGGTGAGTGTATGCGATGATAATCTCCAGGACTCAAGTAAATCACACAGTAAAAGAGACCTTTCATTGGGCTGCAATAAGTTAATTTTCAGTTTTAAAATTTAAGTAGCAGTCTCTCGTTTATCATCAAGCAATTACAATCCAACGCGAACAAAAAGTAGAAAATCTAAAAGGAGAAAAGAATAAAGGTTCAGCTGATGACTAACTACTACAAATTATTAGGCACCTGCTAACTAGACATACTGGTTATAATTTGTGCAGTAGTATAGATGCACTTTTCTTTTGTTGGATATGTCTAGTATTATAGCTGCTCATTTCCATTAGAAGATTATTATGATATTTGGATAAGTACGTTATCCAAGAATGGTTAAAGAATATAAATATACAGTTCTAAAAAAGTACAAGAAAGAGTTATGTTTTTAGACAAAAAATAATATGGAAGAAGGATCCCAGAGCAGTTCAACAAGTACCATGGCAGCTAAAGATACTAAATAGCCTATTTTATCAACTAAATAGCCTATGCATCAACAAGTGGAAACAGACATTTTGATAATACATTTGAAGCGTTTATATGTTATAGTACAATGTAGATATCAGCATATTACACGGTTAACATTCCTGTGGTTACCGTGCTGGTGCAGGATCTCGAACTTTAGGAGAAGCCAATGAAACTCTCCACCAGGACTTCTGATTCGTATCATCCATAGAACCTTCTTGCCCACCATCTTGATTTGTGTTGTCATCAACCACATTCATGGGAAGGAGGGAGCTGGCACCAAGAAGCGAAGAAACAGAATAAGAAAATCCTTTGACTTGCTCAATCATAGCCCCAACTTCTTTCAACTCTCCGAATTGTAGAACAGTTCCATCAACTGGACTAATCTACAACCACATACCAACTCAGAAAGATCAGCAAATTTGATAATCTGCAATATTTTGAAACATCAAGAGAATCAGCAGATAACTAGGAGCTGGTTACCAGTTACCAGACAACAGGGATCCGGATCAATAGGTCGGGTACCCTCTTTCAATCTTCTGACAAAGAACTCCCGTAAAGATGCATATTCTTCCAAAGGCAGTGCTACTTCTTCCAAGTCTGGATTCAAAAACCGAGTTTTATAAATATTGGCATCGCCAAAAGTTTAGTTTTATTTGCACTGTGTCACAGAAGAACTACAAATATCTAAAGCATCAAGATGTAAGAAGAACACTCAAAGCATCACGAAGTAGAAACTAGAAAGACTGTTTACTTGAATGAAATGCTCTAGCCCATCCTTTATACACAGAAGGGCGCAGCCACATCGGGAGTTCCTGGACGAACAGAGCATGGAGTCAAGTTTTTGCTGAATCTTCTGTTATTTAAAATTGATAGAGACTTACCACATTGGTCAAGGTACCCCAGAATCTAGAGATGGAGCGTAGAGGAAGTAATCTCATGAAAGTAGCCTACAATTGAGAAGGCAAATTATTTCCAGTAAGTTCAACATGGAAAACTACATAGAATAATGTGGTAAGCTAAAAGATCAATAGCATAGGAAAGAAGTGAATTCTTACCTTTACATCAGGCTGGAATTCTAAAATTCCTTTCTCTCTTGCGTCTTCAATCTGCGACTCAAAGAGAGTTAGGACCGCTCCATGGGAGAGAACATATCTTAATCTGATTTCATCTTTTTCAATGTCATCTGATTTCACAGAAACCGAAAGAGAGCCCCAATATAGTTCACCTATTTCACTAGGTTTATGAGTTAGAAAAATACCTTCTGATCATCATAGAGACGTCGAGCATGGAGAAGACCAAGCATAACTATAGTTGCGACTGTTGCACCAGGCAACAAAAGAGTGTTACCTGCATAAACCAGAGCCGTCAAATTTCAGCTGCTGTGCCAAATGATAATATTGTAGCAGGTGAATAAGTAACACGATTAAGCACTATCAAGTAATATTGAGTATTATACATAGTTCTAAAAATGCAAGGAACCAAGAACCAAACTGAATTTTCAGCAGTTAACAATAGCTGTTTTGGACATGTAAAATATAATCACGAAAATCACCATCAGACATGTTAAAGAATGACAATAGTCCCACATCGGTGGTTAATGAGATGGGTGGACTCCTTATAAGGCTTCGGCAATTCTCCTCCCTTTGAGCTAGCTTTTGCGGTGTGAGTTAGGCCTAAGACCTATTTTCACATGGCATCAGAGCAGGGCCCTTCTCACCCAATGTTCAGATCCCCAAAATCAAAATTGTCCACGCACCAGATGCTAGCACTGAGCGTGAGAATGGGTGTTAAAGAATGACAAAAATCAAGCACTGGGCGTGAGGTGAGATGTTAAAGAATGACAAAAGTCCACATCGATGGTTAATGAGATGGATGAACTCCTTATAAGGCTTGGCAATCCTCGTCCCTTTGAGCTAGCTTTTGGGGTGTGAGTTAGTCCTAAGACCTATTTTCACAAGACACAAGCTTTATATATAAGCCCATTAATAAACAAAAAACTACAAAAAGAAGAAAGGAAAAGCAAAGAAGGTGCAGCTCACTCCAGCTATCAATTCCACTTTCACTAGAGTTAGTTTGGAATTTGCCACATCAGTCGTTGTGCTCTGTTTTATTTATGTGCTAATTCATATACCAATATGGTTAAGCCACAAGACAATATTTTATATCAACTTCATTCCAATCCATTGAGTTTATTTAACACAACACTTCACGTTGGTAAAATTTCTCCTGAATCCAAATAGAATATTCACCTGAGTATTTTAGGAGTATTGACCTTCCATTAGAATCTAGTTTCCAACTTTGAATGTTAACTTTGACCAAGAAGCGTACTCAAATGATAAACATAATTCTACTAGTTGACACACAACAATTCTTAGTAGTATAAGTTTAAAATCAAGAGCACAAGTATGGAACAATTAGTCTATCACACCTGCTGCTCGTTCTTTTTTTTTATGACCGTGTTGTCGGGCCAACTTTTGCACACCTTGACTGATTCCACGTGATACCTGGCACCTCTCACCAGCAACAGGTATCGATTAACTCTATCCACCAAGGTTAGGACAAATAGGAAGACTCCTAGTGTTTTTTGTCTCCATTGAGTTTTGAACCATAGACCTTAGGATTATCAACCACTTTATTGATCACTAGGCCACACGCCCACGCCCAAGTCTCTTGTTGTTCATTCTTAAACAAGCACTTATTGTCCAAGCCATCTTTTCTTCATATAAGTAAAAGTTCTAATAAAAACAAATAATGTGTATCCTCTTTAACATTGTTGATCATACAACTGTTCTCTAAAATTTTGCTTTTCACTTTGGTAGATACTATGGTATAACATAGAATCTCATAGTGCTCCTCCATCTCAACCATCTTATCTTAATTTTTGGTCTTACCAATTTATCTATCTTGCCATCCTCATGAACAGTAAGCCTTGAGGTTTGGTGACAAACCTTGGGTCAAAAGGTTTCAAGTTGAACAGGACCAAAAACTTAATACTTGTAGTGTAAGGTAATATGGAGATTGACAAGGTGTCACACATTGTATTGGGGTGAGGTAGATTAAATAGAGGCTCACATCTGGTGTTTGGTGAGATAAGAATGTACTACCTACACATAAAGGTAAGTTCTATAGGGTAGTGGTTAGACCGACTATGTTATATATGATGGAGTATTGGCTGATCATAAATTCTCATGTCCAGAGATGAGAGTGACAGAGATGAGAATGTTGAGGAGGATGTGTGAGTATATATAGAAAGACAATGATTAGAAATGAAGATATTCGGGTCAAGGTGCAAATGACCTCGGAGAACAAGATACAAAAAGTGAGGTTGAGATGGTTTGAACATCTGAAGACGAGATGTGCATATGCCCCTGTAAGAAGGTAAGAGAGGTTGGTCGTTGTGGACTTGAGGAGGGGTAGAGATAGGTCAAATAAGTATTGTTGTGAGGTAATTAAGCATGATGCGACACAACTTTAGCTCACCGAAGATATTCCCCTCGATAGGAAGGCAAGGAGGTTGAAAATTAGGGTAGAGGTTAGTAGATAATCGGACAGATTTCTTTTCCTTCTCTATGTATTAGTATTATTTTTCTTTTTCATTATTTTCACATTTCTATTAGTACATGTTGTTCCTTAAGCCTTGATTATATTATTATCTTCTTGATGTTTCTACTTGTTGCTACTACCTTTATAGCTCTTTGAGTCTGAGTCAATTGGAAAAAACCTCACTATTGTTTGTGTACACTCTACCCTCCTCATATCCCACGTATGACATCACACATCATTTGTTGTTGGTGGTGGTATCTAAGCAAGCTTGGACGCACCTTCACTGTTCCACCAGATACAACTTAATAAATCAGCCAGAAATTTACCTATAGAATGAGAACTTAGATATTCCGAATGAGAAGTATTATTAGTTGTAACAAAATATATTGCACTATGTTCTCACCATTAACAGTATAAATGATTCTGAACTAAAATGCAACTCAACTGAAGTTCCATATACAATTTTTTTCAAGCAGAGAAGTAAAAAACAGAGTTGTACCCTGAGAGCTGCTGTTACTACTACTGCCGCCACGATTAAGCGAAGCTCGAGCTTCAGTGGCTTGTACCTTACGAAGAAAGGTAGTGAAATGGAAACGCTGCGCATGTAGATGACTGAAGCGTCCATTGTAAGTGAAGCAAGGAATTCTCTGAGAAGCCCTAAATTTCATCTTCTTCTTTGTCAGGGTTTAAATTTCTGAATTTTGCGCTGAGTTTTTTTTATTTGGTCACAAGAATTAACAATTTATTAGGGCTAACTTTGGCTAATGGAATAGAAATTCACTGTGTCTATTTTTTTCTGAAGTACAAAAAAAAAAAGGGTCAAAAATATCCTACAATTTTGTTTTATCAGTTGACTTTACACTGTTATTAAATGTAGATTACTTTTAAGTCTTAAATTAATTAAAATTATTTGAATTTAATTAAATTATCCAATTTTAATCAACCCACTTAATAACATAAATCATTTTTTTTACCCAAATCAACTTTATCTTCTCCACCAGCACCAAGTCACCACCTACTCCGAGACCTCCTGCACCACCACCGCTAAAACCACAACCAGTTCCCCTACTCTACCTCCTCCAAGTCAGCAGTGCTCTCATAAAATTATAATCACGCAAGCCGACATATGAAAATACGAGAACGCATTCCTCTAACGATCTATACAAAGATCTAAACGAATAAAAGAAGCCAACAATTTCAATTTCACAGTATAATAGTCCCAATGTTGCCCCTGTTTGAATCCCTTTTTTAGTATCATGTCCCTTTTTTTATAGTTTCATTTTCTTCTCTGTAAAGAGATTGAAAGAGGTCAAGAGTTGTTGTGGTTTTGTTATCGTTCATTAGAATTGACCAAAGATGTCATCTGAGTATGTTTTATCTTATATTAAATGCACGAATATTCAATGTGATGCCAAACAAGTGTGTTCAGGATTGCTTAGTGACATTTAAATATTCAATCATCCAAAATTCACCACACAATACTTGAATGCGAAGCTGATATTCTAATTGCTCTGCCAATTGCTTGACTGACAGTTTATTACATTGAACCTCTTACATGATGAGTCTAGGTGAGGTATACAGACTAATCTATTCATCCACTTCCAGCCAGAGAACTGCACCTACATCATGAAGTTGCTAGGAGAGGGTGATGGCTTGGTGGTGGTGGTGATAGAGAAAATGAAGTTAATTTGGGTAAAAGAAATAAATTATGTTATTGAGTAGATTGGGTCGATTGGATTAAAATTAGGTAATTTAATTAAAATTGGATAATTGTAATTAATTTTAGGACTTTCCGTCCAAGGAGGGATATATTTGTTAAGTTTATCGACTGCAAGGAAAAAAATAACTTACTTTTAATGGCAGGGATAAAGTCAACTAATAAAACAAAGTTGAGCGATATTTTTGATCCTTTTCTCTAAAAAAAAAAATTGGTAATAGATTTTTGGTTGCTTTTTGTATTGCTATGTTTTTTTCCCTCAACCATGTATTAGTAGTTTTTAGATGGAATTCAAATAATTAAGTCTAAAATAAAGTGATTTTTGCTATTCTCTTAGTTTCTTTTTTGTTATCATATATATTAAAAATATTTTAGTTGTGTATTCAAATATTAAAATTGAATTAATTATTTTTTTCAACTGTCTTTAATATTAATTATCTAAAATTAAAGGATATATTAATAAATATTAAAGAATTAATAAGAAATCTTTCATCAAACAACAGTTTTATTAATTTTTTCTTAGATTGTGTGATTGTGTCATACCTTCTCATAATAATTAAAAGGAATAGAGAGAATGTCATTTATTTTATGAACATTATATATATAAAACCATTTTTTTAGGTTAAATTAAAAACTAAATTGTAATAATAAAAGAAATTGATATAAACGTCTTATCAATCTAGTATATTCACAAACCAAAAATCAAACTAGCAATACATAAAAAAAGAATATTTTTTTTTAATTATCAATTTAAGCAATCAAGAAATAATAAATCACTTTTTTTCTAATTCTACCCCTTATAGGACTACTTTAATGTTTTAAAAGGTACTGGTCAATTTGAAGTTCTAATACTACAGTAAAAATAATTATTTTTATTTTCAAAAAGTGTAAACTATTTTAGTAATGATGATTAATAGTAGAATTATATTAATTAAATTAAAATGTATATTAATTTTTTCTAACAGGACAGAAGGAAAAAATATTTATCCCAAGAAAGTTTAAAAAAAAAAGAAGTTTTACACCACACATTAGCAAAAACAGTTCAATTAAAACACGATTAGGTGTGGAATTCAACGCATGGAGAGGCAGGAAACCTCACAACTTCCTTATTCATTCCCGCTAGTGATTCCATATCGGATCTAATCCAACTAGTGCACAACCATAGATATCAAGTGTTAACTTCAAAATTAGCACAAGCTATTGGGTAAAAAAAATGCAGTAGGAAGAAACAATCATCATCCGAAGAATGGCGGAAGAATGAACATGATTATTATTTACAAAATGGAAGTGCAGTGCTAGAGAAGCTTCTTGCTTTATGCAACGGAAATTGCAGAATTCCTATCCGATACTTCACTGCCTCTGAGATCGACAATGCAATTAGTCACTCTCAAAACGAATTGGAGATTTTCGATGGACGTATGGTTGCAGGATCAATGGACAAACGCCTCGTTTTCGTAAGGTTTTTCCCTAATTATTTTAGGAATTTCTTCAACACTTTTCGAGCTATAGCAATTACTGCTCAGATGAGTCATCTCAAGAATGTGCTGAGACTTGTTGGTTGCTGTCTACAATTTGAAGAAGCAGTTATGGTGTATGAATATGTTGAGGCTATAACTCTCAGCGATCTACTTTTCAGAGAGGGTGATCATAAGACTGAAAGATCATTATCTTGGGGAAAGAGATTACGAATTGCCAATGAGGTTGCTTCTACAGTTGTTTTTCTCCATACAGAATTTACTACACCCATCATCCACAGAGATATAAAGCCTCACAAAGTGATGATAGATCAGAACAACAGCGTTGCCAAAATAATACACTTCTCATAGTCTATATCATTACCTCAGGGGAATTGGAGGTACAAGATGCTGTACCGTGCGGGACATTTTGGTATTTAGATCCAGAATATGCCTCCCTGGGTATTGTTACTCAAAAAACTGATGTATACAGCTTCGGAGTTCTTCTCTTTCAGTTATTAACCGGAAAGGAATCTCTTGATAGTATGCAATCCAATATTGATGAAGGTAATGTTATCGATAGAGTGGATTCTAGAATTATGAAGAAACAACAAATTTTATAGATCCAAATCCACCAACCTTGGTTGATCTCTACATTAAAGAGAGTAATGCAATAGATATAGCAGACCTACCTTTTTGGAACAGCAAGGTATTGAGATTCGACAACAATTGGAAGACTACTTGGATGTTGTCAAGAAATGCACAACATACAAATTAAGGAGAAACCAGACCATATATGATTCATGTTGCTAAGGAATTACGCCGGATTGAGAACTGCTACCGTGCCCTCACTATTAATCAAAATTAAATATCTGTTTTAATACATGAGGTATAAAAAGAAGTTTGTTTATACCGTCGTATTTATGTTGAATAATAGATGAGATCTGTAGACAATGAAATTGCCCATTTAGTTTTTAGTTGTTGGATTGAATCTAATTGATCTTTTTGTTTGAATACTAAAAAAAAGTGAGACCATGTTAGTTTTGTAACTTACATGTAATTACCTTTTAGTAGTTTCAGACTATGCCACGACTTGAAGTTTACCCTTTTCCTTGTTAATCAGGCAAGAGACATTTCAGTGCTTGCGAAACCAAGTATCCAAAATCCAAATACTTCAAACACAAGATATAGGTGGTTGTTTTCTGAGAAAGGTAAAATCAACACCGCAGGATACATGTTCCTTATTCGACCCATTAAAACTAAAATCTAAGATGGGATTGTAACTTTTCAGCTCATGCTAAAGGTCCTTTTTTCTAGGAAAACAGACAGATTCTCTGATCTTAACATATTGATTGGTCTTGTATAGTCAAGCTGGAGAATTTAGCATGAGCTAGGCCAGGTTCACATAGTTGTTTTTTTTTAATGCTAAGAGGCTCACGTAGTAATAATTGTGAGAGTGCAATGACTATTCGGAAGCCACAACTCTAATCCCAGCGTTTATACAGCTACTATATAGATGGTGATTACTACTGGGTAGGCACATAATTAAACAGCATCTTTTAGGCCTCACAAAATTTAACACAAAAGCAGTGTGCATTTCTCTTGATTCCTAAAAGAAACTACTTTGTTATCACAAGCATACAATATCAAGTTAGTTCAAGAGAAGGGAGATTAGTGACTTATCTATAACACCAGCTTGCTGATGCTGCAAACCCTCCGAAGGTTTTGAGTCAAAATTGAATCTATAGAGAAAGGAGAAGGGGCTTTAACAATAGATATATGTAGATGATAAAGTTTTTGAGAATCCACTGAAACGAGCAAAAGGAAATTGCCTTCTTCCACTGGAAATAAACCATTTCAGTCGCTGGAATAATTAGAGTAAGCTTTCGGGATAATTTCCTTGTTTTAGCTGGAGACAAGACAAGCCATGGAGCCAATTCTCAAATGATCTAAATTACTAATAGCTTATTACAGGTCCACGAACCTTGCTTTAACTAAGAAGCAAAAAGAGGAAACTTCACATGGCATAAGGTGAAAGACAAAAAACCTAAGAGAGATAAAACCAAGAACTGGCAATACAAATTGAACCCCAACAATTTAGAATCTTAGATTGACATGTGCGTGACTAACAACTACCAAGTAATTAGTGGAAGACAAGAGGCACAAGATTTTCAACTTCGATCCTGGGATACGCGATAAAAATCGCCTTTAAAGGATCAACCAATCCACGACGTGCGTCATGTATGCTCATCATTATTACGCAAACTTTGCAAAGTCATATCTAAGGCGACAAAATTTCATGTCATATAAACTCCTGATTCAAAATCTTCATGATTTCATTGGCTCCAAGAACAATATGATCTCTTTTGAGGAACCATTCCCAAGTTTCTGTTGGACTAAGTTGTAGCTTCGAGGGTCTTCATTTCAAAACCATGTTCTTTCTTGGGACAATTTAAGGATGGCGGGGAATGAGGTGGGTGAATGTATCTACTTGCATAAAACCAGATACTAATTGAACACTTAAACCTTAATAACATAAAGATCTAGCAAATGCAAGCTCTTCAGTTCTCATAAAACTACAAGATGTCAGTAGGTGGTAAACTGTAAACATATTGCAAAAATGATTTACCCATAGGCATAACAAAACTTTATTTAGACATACTTTTAGGGCAACTGATTCTTTTATCCAAATCATAAAGCAGCCACCATAACACAGCCTATCCAATTTTTTTTTAAAAAAAAAGAAGATAAATATATAAGTACATAACACAGCCTATGCCCATTTTATTTTATTTTATTTTTAAAAAAAAAAGATAAATACATAAGTACATAACACAGCCTATGTCGCAAAGCAAAGCCGGTCTCATGCCCAGATTAAAGAGAAACAATGCTAAGTTGACATTCACATTAAAACAATCTAATTATAATGAATCAATGATACCCTTCGGAGTGGCCAAGTGGTTTGAGCTTGGGACTTCCATGTTGGAGGTCTCAGGTTCGACACCCCTTGCCAGCGAATTTCCAAGGTTGGGATTGGTCCTAAAGTTGGTCCAGACAGAGTTCTCGGTCATCAAACAAAAAGCAAACTAATTATAATGAAATTGTGATAATCCTCCAGATCATATAGAGTCAACCCAACTATATTCGTATGTAGTTTATACATCGATTAATACTGAAACAAAACACAACAAACACCATATTTATTATGCAATAATAATCTTTAAAGTACAAACTTTAAAAAGAACTGAGTCAATTACCACTTGGAAAACTAAGCTTCTCGTGCAGAAATCATTCCAGCCTTTCTTGCATAAGCGAAAATGCCACCAGCTTCAATGACAGGACCAGCATCACCAATAGGCTTCAATTTATACTCTTTTCCAGTTGTATGATTAATCAACCTACTCTCTCCAATTTCAACGGTCACCACATCACCAGTCTTACACTCCTCACATATTCTCTTTTCCGATTCAAGCGGATAGACTTCACCAGTCGAAACTGAATTCCTGAAAAAGATCCTCGCATACGACTCCGCCACCACTGCCGATACACCAGCTGCCCCCAGAGCAACCGGCGCGTGCTCACGCGATGATCCGCATCCAAAGTTGTCACCACCTATGACGATGGAGTACTTTGACGTCAATTCACCTGGTTCGACGAAACGGGTTTGGTACGATGAGGGAAGTCCACATAGAGCATACGACCCGAGTTTCTTGTACTCATCTGGATTTGAAGGTACAAGGGTTAGGTATTCTGCTGGGATGATTTGGTCAGTGTCGATATTGTCTCCGAGAACGTAGCAGAGGCCGTGAAATGTGGTGGCAGTCTTGGTAGTTTCCGGTGTAGTAGAGGCGGCGGCGGAACGGAGAGGTGCGACAGTGTAGTTTTTCGGAGCTGAGACGGAATGGGAGATTAATGGATTATGGGAGGATATTGATGGGAATTTGACGGAAGGGAGAGGATTCATAGAGGAGGCGCGTGGTTGGAACGAAGAGGATTTGAAGGTGGTGATGGAACTGGAAACAGCTGTTGAAGCCGCCATTGATTAAAGCTCGGAGTGGCGGAGAATGCTAATTTTTCGTTGAAAACAGTGTACTAAAACGTGGGCAGACATCTTATTAGCTATATATTGGGCCTTAGAATTTTTTTAGCTATTGGGCTTACAATTAGATCAGATTAGCAAGAGAGCTGCCAATATTATTGGACCAGTGCGACTACTTTTGAAAAATTACTTTGATAAACTTCTTTTACTAAATAATTACTAATTTTAATAATATTTTTTATTTATTATCAATTATAGCAATATTATGTTAAATTTCTAATATATATTAAAAGTGAATTAAATATGCAATATATATGTATTATAACTATTTTTATAAAATATATTATGCTTGTTCAGTAAGAAGTTGACACATTGTATTATAAGTGTATTAAAATATGTGATAAGTGTATTATCCATAAATAAAACTTGTATTATATTTGAATAACAAATTATTTTTTGTAATATAAATTAAAAGTGATAAAAGTGAAAAAATATGACATTGCTATAAATGATAAATATTTTTTATTTATAATATATTTATGTATGTTTTCCATCCTAAAATTTGGTGGAATCCAGATACAATCCAAAACGTTCTAATACATCTTGTTTCAATTTTGAATACATCCACCAACGTCTCGATACATTATATAGCAGTTTGGATACATCACTTAACGACTTAATACATTGCATATGTCTCGATACATCGCGTAAATTGATGTATCCGATTGATACATCACATAAAGTAATGTATACGAGAATATGAGAAAATAGATACTTTTGAATGGTAGAAAATTTTAGAGCATACGATAAAATAAAAATTGTATATTTAGGTAATTTGTTATATTTAATATCTGGGACGGTGCAAAAAAGTAAGAGAATTTCATAAAGAGTATTTTGTTTATTGAATTCGTTGTTTTAAATGCTCAAAGTAAGATGAAATGGATTCTTTTGTCAGCTGATTTTTTTCTTGAATTCGTGTTTTGAAAGTATATTATGATATTCAAAGATTGTTTGGATTGTATATTGTGATAATAGTATGAAAAACGTTCATTGATCAGTACGTACAGTTATGTACAATTTCATTTGGAATCGAATAACAAAATTTTATTCTAATTTGAATTTGTTGTTGGTTGTAGATTTGCTATATAATATATAAACGTATACATAATTTTGATTTTTTTACCTTTTTGAAATTGTTGAATTTCAAAGAGTGATTTATATGTCTTTTGATAAAACTGGTCTGTATTTGTGTGTATATAAATATGTTCTATTTATTTTTCAAGTACAGACATGTCTTCTTGATATTTAGATTATGCATTCCGACAAATGGAAAGATGGAAATTGTTACGTTAATTATACTATTAAGGAGATTGTCTTTAAGGAAAATGCAACATATAATGAGTTTGTATAATAATGAAAATTGAATTCATTTGGTGCAAAACACTCGGTTCGAATAAGTTTTTTTCTGAGTTGTATAGTAGAATTGCAAATCAATTTGATATCGATGTGACTAACAAAATACTAATAATACAAATATAATAGAATATAATAAGGGGAACTTTCAGATGTAGCCACTAAAAACAG